TATATATATATATATATATATATATATATATATATACAGTTAAAGTCAGAATTATTCGCCCCCCTGTTTATTTTTTTCTCCAGTTTCTGTTTGATGGAGAGCAGATTTCTTCAACACATTTCTAATCATAATAGTGTTAATAACTCATCTCTAATAGCTGATTTATTTTCTCTTTGCCATGATGACAGCACATAATATTAGACTAGATATTCTTCAAGACACTGATATTCAGCGTAAAGAGACATTTAAAGGCTTCACTAGGGTAATTAGGGTAACTAGGCAGGTTAGGGTAATTAGACAAGTGTAATAAAATTTTTTTAATATAAGTTAATTTTATATAAAATCACAGTGTACACCACAATCTCTGGGCTTGCTGCATAACAAATACCAAAAATTGAACAATTTATTTAAAAAAAATGAATCACTTTCTGGCCATCGGATATTAGGCATGGGCATATATATTGCGATTTAAGAACGAAATATGACATTTAAAAACAAAATAAAAGTTGAAAGGGGGACTAATAATTCATGATAGTGTATATAGGTGTTAGGGTACACACAGCTTTATAATTTTCAGTTCAGTTTACCTGAAAGCTCGGCTGCTGTTGATCTCATTCCCAGAGCCACGGGATGCCCTGAAACACACACACACACAAGCACACACACATATAGATATGATGTTACCAATGATAACAGAACTCACGAGGCAGTCAGAACTGCTCACAAAGTCCCATCAAATCATCAACAGCGGCTGCGGCCTTACTTCATCTTATTTCTAGTGGGAAACCATCGCGAGGCTTGTTAGAGCAGCTCTCTCCGCCTCTTCCCTCATAAGCTAAAGGAGAAGAAAACTCTACCAAATACGGCTTCTCACGCTCCAGTATTTAGAGAATTCATGAGCTCCACTGAACATAACTCAAAACGTAGCTTACCTGTGCGTATCTTAATGAACCATAAAGCACCGGTGAGCAGAACTCCGATCAGAAATCCTCCGAACGCTATGCCCAGAACAGCCGAGAGTCCAAACTCAAAACACGAATCTGGAACAGAGCAGGAGTTCAGTTATTATAGTAGATTATCTGGGGATGTAACAAAAAACGGGGGCTCGTCCGGGATTAGTCGAGTTTGTAGACGTTTTAATGAGACATTTGTAAAACAGAAGATAAATATATTAGTCAGTTTCTTATTGTCTCGTGTAGAACTAATAACAAAAAAATTATAAAATAAACAAATGTATGAAAGAACAGATATTATCCGGACATTTTATATTTATATTAATGCCTTGTGAAGGTATTTCCTCCATAGTGTCCCTGTGGTTCAGTTGAAAACTATAATTAAGATGAACTGGGGATGCAACATTAATTGGGGGCTCGTCCGGGATTCAGAATCAGAACCTCTGGGAAGATCACACGATTTCTGGGTTTCATTACATCATGAAATGTTAAAACGATTTAATGTTTCTCCTCTAGGTGGCGATCTGTTATTTGTGTTAAACTATAAAATCCACATGAATTATGCGTGTTCACTGAGATCGCCCCCTAGTGCTGAATCAATGAACAGCTTTTGTAGATTTATTCTGTTATTCAGTGGAAAATTGTAACTAGGATGAGCTGGAGATGCAACATAAATTGGGGGCTCGTCCAGGAGTGTGTTCACTGAGATCGCCCCCTAGTGGTGAATTAATGAAGAGGTTTTATAGTTTGTACCTGATCTAAGATCAGTTTGACGAGTTTCTGGATGCTTTAACGAGACATTTGTAAAGCAACAAGGAATATATTAGTCAGTCTCTATTTGTGCTGTTTAGAGCTCAGTGAAATATACAAACTTTAATTTTAATTAGCTTTAATTTTTTATATGAATTTGCAAACAGTTAATATTCATATTTATGTCTTGAGAAGCTATTTTATCAATTACCTCCCTGTGGTTCGGTTAAATTAATAATTATAATTATAGAATTATAAATAAAATTATAATTAAGATGAACTGGGGATGCAACATTAATTGGGGGCTCGTCCGGGATTCAGAACCAGAACCTCTGGGAAGATCACACGATTTCTGGGTTTCATTACATCATGAAATGTTTAGACGATTTAATGTTTCTCCTCTAGGTGGCGATCTGTTATTTGTGTTAAACTATAAAATCCACATGAATTATGCGTGTTCACTCAGATCGCCCCCTAGTGCTGAATCAATGAACAGCTTTTATAGATTTATTCTGTTATTCAGTTGAAAATTGTAACTAGGATGAGCTGGAGATGCAACATAAATTGGGGGCTCGTCCGGGAGTGTGTTCACTCAGATCGCCCCCTAGTGGTGAATCAATTAACAGGTTTTATAGTTTTTTATCTGAACTCAGATCAGTTTTATGAGTTTGTAGATGTTTCAATGAGACATTTCTAAAACAAAAAGGAATATATGAGTTAGCAGTCTCCTATTGTCCCGTTTAGAGTCCACAATGAAAAAACTATATCATTTTTTTATTATTTATTAAAGAACGCAAATATGCAGACACAATACTTATACTCATGCCTTGTAAATGCATTTACTCCTTAACGTCCCTGTGGTTCAGTTAAAAAGTAGGATGAACAGGGGATGCGACAGAAATTGGGGGCTCGTCCGGGAGCGTGTTTGCTCAGTTCGCCCCCTAGTGCTGAATCAACGAACAGGTTTAATAGTTTTTACCTGATCTCAGATCAGTTTTATGAATTTGTAGACATTTTTGAGACATTTGTAAAGCAAAAATTGGATATATTAGTTAATAGTCTCTTAGTGTCTCGCTTGGAGCCCACAATGAAAAAACAATAAGCTTTTCAGGCTGTATAACAGATCGCAAATATGCAGACACTCAATGTTTATATTCATGCCTTGTGAAGGTATTTTCTCCATAACTTCCCTTTGGTTCAGTGGAAAATTATAGTTAAGATGAACTGGGGATGCAACATAAATTGGGAGCTCATCTGTGATTCGAACCCGGAACCTTTAGCAAGATCACCAGTGTAATATAGACCCACACACAGAATGTGAAGTTTTCCATTATTCTTCATGTGATCACATGCTACCATCTCACTTCTAAAATGCCACGTTAAAGTAAACAAACTCTTACACACAGTGCTGCACATCAATGTCAGTTTCAAAGTTATGGACCAATCAGAGCTTGTAGGCGGGGTTAATCTACTTATGTATTAATCCACAGGTCACGTGTGTTCTCTAGGATCTGCTAGGAGTCGCTGTGTGTTTTTGGAGGATGCGAGTCCTCACGCTGTCTTTCCTGTTTTTTTTTATTTGGTTTTTTTGTGAGTGTCTAAAGTTCATCCCCTGCTCTGCTCTTTCCGGCCTCTTGTTTGTTCAGCTTCTGACCAAACACACAAATGAGGCTGATGTTTGCTGGATGCTCTGCTGCTGACTCGGGGAGGAAAACAAATAAAACAGGGACATAAAGCAGACCCTTCCTGTGGCACCGAACCAAAAAAAAGTTCTTCAAGGGCCCTCGGGAGGGATCGTTCGAGGGTTAAACACTCTCGCCGTCACTGCAAACATGCTTTAGCAAACACTCCGGCATCAAAGTGTGTGATTACGGAGGGATGAAGAACCTGAGGGGAGACCAGCGTCTGCAGGTGACCTTCCTGCTTCCTGTCATTGTCACGAAGAGAGAGTGTGTGTGTGCGTGTGTCAAACGGTGGAGAAGTAAACAGGACTCAATCCATCCAGGAGACGAATAATGAGGCTTTCAAGGTGCAGGAATTGACCTAGTGGCTAAAATAGGCATTGCAGTTCAAAATATTACACGGAAAAAATGCTTTCTTACTTACTTTTACTCAGTTCTTGTCTTGTTTTTAGTCCAAATAATTCTTAAATCAAGAAGGATTTTCTTGGCAATGACTTGTTTTCAGAAATAAGTCAAAATTAAGTGAGTTTTTTCAGTCATTATTATGTGTAATGAGGCTTTAAAGTTGCAGGAAGTGACACCTAGTGGCTAAAGTAGGTATTGCAGTCCAAATTCTTCATTCATTCATTCATTTTCTTGTCGGCTTAGTCCCTTTATTAATCCAGGGTCGCCACAGCGGAATGAACCGCCAACTTATCCAGCAAGTTTTTACGCAGCCGATGCCCTTCCAGCTGCAACCCATCTCTGGGAAACATCCACACACACATTCACACACACACTCATACACTACGGATAATTTAGCCTACCCAAATCACCTGTACCGCATGTGTTTGGACTGTGGGGGAAACCGGAGCACCCGGAGGAAACCCACACGAAGGCAGGGAGAACATGCAAACTCCACACAGAAACAGCAACTGAGCCGAGGTGAGGCGACAGCACTACCTACTGCGCCACTGCCTCGCCCCCAAATTCTTAATATTACACTTAAAAAATATGAGTAACAAAATGAAATGATTCAGGGAAAAAGTATTGAACACATGAAGAAAGGGAAGTGTATTTGGGCAGTGAAAGCCCAGACAGCAGCAAAAATTTCTCAGTAGTTCTTCAGCAATCCTCTGCTCTTCCTCAGTGTAAATGAATATCAGCTGCTTCAGTCCAGCATCTACATCAGCAGGAGGATGAAGATCAAACCATTTCAGCAAGACAATGATCCACAACACAGCCGAGGAGACTCTCAGATGCTTTCAGAGAAAAAAAATCAAGCTGCAGAATGGCCCAGCCAATCCCCTGATCCGAATCCAATAGAGAATACAGCTCAAATTTGATAAACGAGACCCACAGAAGCATCAAGATTTGGACACTCTGTTGAAGTCTGTGAGAAACTCACACCTGAGCAATGCATGAGGCTTCATTCTCCATATGAGAGGCAGCTTTTTGTTTTTTTAAACCTAGGATGTTTTGTGAATTTGACCCCCGGTCCCCAGGCTATCAGAGTTGTCTTGTGAAAGGAACTCAAGCAAACCACAGAAGCCTCCTCTATTGTCTCAAGCACACACCAGTGAAGTAAAAACAGCGAGTCGGAGCACGTACAGTCCTGTCCTGCGGAAAGATGACCCCCGTGTCAGTGATAGAGTCTGAGACTTTTCCAGAAAACGTCTGATAGTTGCTGTGAAGAGATGGTGTGTGAACAGACCCCTTTTAAAACAAAATACCTGAGCTGACAGAGTCACATCAGTAAATTGATGGAATTCTGCACATTCTTTAATTCATCAGGGAAGTCGATTCAGTAATTTTACATCAATTAATCAATATTATTGTGTGAAAGAGGCTTCTGTCTGGCTCAAATGAGCTATTTTTTAGTCTTAAAGGTACAGTTCACCCCAAAATAAATGTCATTTACTGTCATTTCTGTTGAACACAAAAGAAGATATTTTGAAAAATGCTAAAAACCTGTAACCATTGACTTCTATAGGATTTGTTTTTCCTACTATGAAAGTCAATGGTTACAGGTTTCATACAATTATTCCCATACAGCATCTTTAACTGTCTATAGATCAAGACCCATGATCACTACACATCTTAAAGGGACAGTTCACCCATAAAATATAAATTTATTCACTATTTACTGTGAATTCAAAGCTTTATGAGTTTCTTTCTTCTGTTGAACACTAAAGAAGATAATTTTAAGAATGTTAGCAACCGGTAACCATTGACTACCATTGTAGAAAAAACAAATACAGGTTATAGTATAGTTACAGGCTTCTAACATTTTTCAAATGTCTTCTTTTGTGATCAACTGAAGAAAGAAACTCCCGAAGAAGATGTTTTGAAGAATGTTGGAAACCGGTAACCATTGACTTCCATTGTTTATTTGTTTTCTACAATTGAGGTCAATGGTTACAGGTTTTCAAAATATCTTCTTTTGATTTCATCAGAAGAAAGAGACTCATGAAGAAGAAGATATTTTGAGAAATGTTAGAAACCGGTAACTATTGACTTCTATTGTAGAAAAAAATAATAGAGGTCACAGTATTGTTACAGGCTTCTAACATTTTTCAAAATATCCTCTTTTGTGCTCAACAGAAGAAGGAAATTCACGAAGAAGATATTTTGAAGAATGTTTGAAACCGGTAACCACTGACTTCCATGGTATTT